GAGAATGTCGAAATGACGTTATTTTTTTACAACTTTGCTGCCCTTCCCTTTCTTTACGTCACTCTCAAATTGTCAGATTACTGGAATATACACTTTTTAGCAGGTAATTCACTCACCCTACCTTAATCTGACGCGCTCGAGATTTTCTGATGATCAATTTTTTTTTTACTAATCTGATCCTTTATCCTTCACAGGCGGACTTATATATGGGGCTCATATTTGGTGGAGGTACTTAACCGGGTACAAGGTATCCCCCTGCATATTAATCTGTCGCGCTTTAGTAAATCCCGAAATCCCTGCTTGGGCTCCCCTATTATTATGATTTCCTACCACATAGTAACGGCTACATCCATCAATTTAAATTGATGAAACCTTCGGAACAATATGAAAATAGGACGAAAGCGTATCCAATTCTCCAGGTCAATTAATTGAAGTTACAATTAAAATGTGTTGGGAATTTGCAATTGAATCCGCTGGGATACGAGTACATGCAAGCTTTCAATTTCATAGACAGGAAACAAAAGAACAAATTGAAACACGCTTTTTCACTAATTGTAATATCAAAGTGCTACATACCTGAAAGCTGTGATTGGCGTTTTTTGTTGAACACTCGGCTAGGCACAGGTCGGTGAGTTCGATTTCATCGAAAATCACAGCCTGAAATTGAGGAAAATATAATTGAAAAATGCGTCATCGTTATTATGGCGTCAAGCAAAAGTGACTGTGGCTGGACTTTGTTTTAGATACCAATGCTTTGAAACGTTCATATCCCCCATTTACCTACACCAGAGCTCGGCAATTAGTTTTACGTGGGGTCCGGATCCTGTGGGAAAATTTTGAAGAGGTCCAGAAATGAACAACTGATAAAAATCAAGTGCTACCTATGTATCATTTTGGTATGAAATCAAATTCTGAATTATAAAACACAAGACCTAAAATTAACGTGAGAAACTACACCGATGGTCTTGAGCCAGTTTTTTATAGTTTGGTTCTCGAGAGGAACAGCAAATTCGAGGTGTCTTCTAGGTGGGTAGTTCGTAAATCTCGAACGATATTTATTCTTCAAAAAATTCATCTCAACGAATGCATCATTATGCTTTTTGACAAACAAATATAAATGAAATCAGACTGCAGCGATATTGAGGTCTCACTACCGAACACAATGGGAAAATATTTCTCAAAATCAGTATCAGAATAAATCAAAACTTCAGAATCAATTTTCCTTCATACATGACTCACCATGTAGTTCAATGTATTTTATTCCTTACAGTAATTCGGAAATGGAAACTATAATAATGAGTTTTAAAAACAAAACGACAGCAGGTGTTGACGAGTTCCTATGAAAATATTTGGAGGTTGTGCTAATTTGGCAAAAAACTTAACTACCCTGATCAATAAATCAGTAGTGGAAAGTATTGTTCCAAACCAACTAAAAATTTCAAAAGTCGTGCTAGTTTATAAAAAAGAGGATCCCACACCTATGGAAAATTATCGTGGCATATGTGTCTGAGCTATATCTCGAAAATAATGGAAAAAGCAGTTTACAACAGACCGATAAGTGTTTTGCAACAAAATAATTTGATAAGTTCTTGCCAACACGAATTTAGAAAAAAAATTCAGTCGAAACAGCATCAACTGATGGCATAAACAAATGATACTATATAGTTGGTATATTTTTTGATCTAAGCCGAGCATTTGAAACAATCAACCCGAAGTATTTAAGAAAAAGCTCTATAAAATGGTTATAAGAGGGTCAATCAATAAGTAGTTTGAATCTTATGTGAGTAATAGGAAAACAGTCGTTAAAGTCAACGACAATTATACAGATCAATTTGATATGAATCTGGGGACCCCACAGGGAGGGGTGCTTGGACCACTATTATTTTTACTTTATGTTAATAAACCACCCGAAAACATGAAAGAGGGGCGAGTTTTCATGTATGCCGATGACCCAACAATCATTGTGACGTCCCCAGATCTAAATGAAATTTAAAATAAAACGAAACTAGTAATCAATGAACTCGAATGTTGGTGTAGAAATAATCATTTAATGAATAATAAAGATAAAACAATATTTATCCAGTTTTCAATTAAGTATCAGCGCCCTCTCCAAATAAATTTAGGTTTCGAAACAACAGAATATACAAAATTCCTTGGAACACAACTTGATAATAAATTGTCTTTCAATGATCATATCGAATACTTGTGCACTTCTCTGAAAAAAAAAAACGTATTTTGCCTTCTTAACGATGAAATCAAATTTTTTGAGACATAATCTCTTGGATATATACTAGTGTAATATGAATATTACCATTTGGGGACACTCATCAGAAATAAATAGAATAGAAATCAAATTTTTTGAGACATAATCTCTTGGATATATACTATGATTTAGTGTATTCTAAGCTTAATATGAATATTACCATTTGGGGACATTCATCAGAAATAAATAGAATATTTATAATGCAAAAACGTTTCATTAGACTAATTTTTGATCTCAAATACAGAGAATTTTGTAAGACGACATTCAAAGACAAAAAAATTCACATTACTATGTATCTTAACAAAATATTAAGCTACGTTTATGTACATTCCTATTTGCTAACAAGAAATGAGGAAATTCACTCTCATCAAACGAGACGGAGAAACGACTTCCATCAGGTAAAAATAAACCGTAAAGTAGCGTAACGCTAGTTGCGTTAACTTATTACTTTAACTTATTACCACACAGCATCAGAAGTGAAACAAATTTTCTCAAATTCAAGAAAAAAGTCAAAGACTTTTTGGTAACAAGTTGTTTTTATTCCCTGAAAGAGTATGAAAATAATATTTTTGTGCAACACGTGTATTGATGTAAGTGATATTAGGTAAAATATCTTTTGTAAAATGTGACATGTCATATATACATTCTTTTGATTAGATTTGCTCTAATTTGCACTGTAAACAGAAAACATAAAGCATCCCCGTATGTAACTTATAATATCAAATTGATGATGAAAACCGGGATAGAGCTCATGCCAAATATCTTGAAGAAAAGACAGCAACAGCTAGACAGTACTATGTAACTTTGCGCAACTACGTCAATGACGCAGTGAAACGTGGAAAAACAGCATATAAACAATTTGTTTTGAACAAAAATAAAAACAATTCAAAAATGACATGGAGCAATCTTGCAGATTGGGGTGTTACTACAAAATCATCCTCGCAAACCAATAGCCTGCCAATTGAACTACGTAGACCTGAAGAAATCAATGACTATTTTTTAAACGTGGCTGGACATTCAATAGTAAATAATAACACTCTTTCAATCTACAATAATAAATTGAACGCTACTATGAACTTTTCCCTGACCGATATATATGATGATGATATTTTGACTGCTATCAAAGAAATAAAATCTAATGCTTTTGATATTGACAATATAAATATCAAGATGATTTCTTCAGTGATACCACAATGTATTGATGAAGATAAACATATTTTCAACGAGTCCTTCAGATAGGGTATTTTTCCAGATGTTTGGAAGGTTGCTTATATAATTCCAATTCCGAAAAAGAATGCACCTATCACGTTCAGTGACCTACGCCCTATCAGCATTCTGCCCTCATTCTCTGAAATATTCGAGAAAAGAGCAGTCTGGGTTCCGCAAAAAACACGGAACATAGACTGTAAAGCTTTCGATTTAATTAATTTCGATTTACTCATCAACAAGCTCAAGTTTATAGGATTCGATGACATTTCTCTTAAATGGATGACCAGCTATCTCACAGGCCGATCACAGAGGGTCAAACTGGATGATTACTCATGGTCATCCGTAAAAAAAAACAACCTCAGGTGTACTGCAGGGAAGTATTCTAGGACTCTTGATGTTTTCAGTGTTTATTTTTGATTACCCCACTTTCTTATCACATTGTCAAGTACATCTATACGCAAATGATATACAGTTATATTTGTCTTCTCATAACACCGATACAGAAAGTTGCGTGGCCAATATAAACACAGATTTGCACAAAACATCCCTATACTCGGAGAATCATGGACTGAAAATCAATCCAAATAAAACTTTAGCCTTATGCAAAGGGTCTCAAAGACAAAAAGTAGAAACTCAGTGTAACTTTAGGCTTACTTTCGATAACGCAGACATTGAGTGGGTAGACAATGCTTAAAATCTTGGCGTAACCATAGATAGGATGAGCTACTATGTCTCTTGGACCATAATGAATATAAAGCACCGGACTATGCAGTCCAGGGTAAATACAATAATGTAGTGAAGGGATGCATGCAGCAGATTATAACATTATAACAAGATGAACCGAAGAAGGGCTTAACATAAGCCCATCCAAATCAACCATAGTAGCATTCACCAAGAGAACTGAAACGGAGGGTCTCGGACCTCTAAAACTTCGAGGTGAAGGAATACAAGTGTCGGGGGAGGTTAAATATCTGGGAGTAATCCTAGATTCCAAACTGACCTGGACTCAACACTTGGACAGGATAAAGAGGAAAGCGGAGGTAGCACTGATGTTCGCAGACGCACCTGGCTAAAACTAGACATGGTATATTTCTTTATACACGATGGTGGTTAAACCCATGATAACATACGCATCTCTGGTCTGGTGGCCAAAGATGAAGCAGGCGACCACCATCAACAAACTAGGCAAGGTGCAAAGACTTGCATGTTTGGATATGACGGGAGCAATGCCCAACATTGCATTGCATTACATTAAAACTGAACCTTTTAATCTTCCTATTTGAAAATGATCGCTTGGTGATCGAAACACGTGTCGGGGTGTTAAAAATAACGATTTAGTGTTGGGAAAAACTCCAGTAATATCCATTACTACACCAAAAGTTATTCTCCAATGTGATTTTTCTCAGTAATTATGTTCTTTCATCTTCTTAATTTTTTTCTGTTTTATTAATAATCATTATTCTTGTTTAATGTTTTCTGCTTCATTCATTTCCTGTACTATTTTAATCACTTCATCATGGTTGAAAGAATATAAAATAGTCAAAGAATAGATGTGAATATATTTATTGTGAGACACATTATTTCAGGGCGACAAGGAAAGTGATACCCGCATTGTCCTCAGAGAAAGTAATATAAAACTAATAGTTCCAGGACTCCGATGGATGTTCCACTAATTGAATCCCCTTTAATTTCTCTCTTTCCTTTGAGTTGTCGAGATTCATGAAGAAGAGAGTTCTGCCGTAGCTATACCTGTATGATTTACAGTTCAAATTTAATTAAAGCGAGTGAGAAAACAAAAATTTCAGCTCGTTATAAAGTCCTCGCAGACCTGGATGAGTTATAGTTCAGAACAGACCTGCTACATACTGAATTTGTTTGGAAAATTATTTCATGACTAGTTATGATCGTTTCTTATCATTATTGATTCATTTGGGAACATATTCGCTGAAGTTAATTCAGATTTATCGACTTCGTTCACACTATTTCTTTCAAGACAATGATAAAATCTTATGACGTTTTTGGTATCTTTGGTAATAAATCGCTAGAAAACAAAGCGCTTCCAAGAATTGAACTCAAGTGTCAGTCACTTGAAATGTTGCATATGATTTTCTTCAAAATAGTCGCCGGAAGAAACAACTTAATTTGAAATTCCTGAAATAGGCAGAATTCGAATTGCTGTTTT